CCCCCCCCCCCCCTTTTTATTGCATTTTCTTGGCATTCATCCTTCTTTTGAATAAAATCTAAATTCATCTCATATTCTGCCTTTTCTTCCACCATAGTGAGGTTGAGTGAGTTGCTATATAGTGTTAAACATGCTCGAGAGAATGTCATTCCACTAGGGGAGTTGAATCAGCTTGCTGGACTGCCTGGAGCTGAAAAGTCCTGCCTTCCAACTGGGGTCTTTGAAGATGAGAAATCTATGAGCAGAATTTGGCAAAATCATCAACAATGTTCTAGAAAAGAGCTTAGGAGCAGTGGAGCTGTTCTGTCTGGTGATTGCATATATGTTGATTCTGATACATCAACCGAGTTGAAGAAGAAGGTAACATTATGTTTATTTAAGCATCGATGTGATATTGATATATCTTTTATTGTTCACAGGATATCATTTTGTTGCATTTTGGCTAATTAGCACTTAAATACCTTATAGCTTCCCCTACTTTGCATGCATATACCCTACCTTGTTTTTGGCAGCACTTATACGCCCTAAAGTTTTTAAAATTGACACTTTAGTACCTTGCATTATGCAAACGTGAGAATCTTCACGCAAATATTCTCATGTGATACTCACATACTAATGTAGACCTTTTTAACACATAATATTTGTTGAATTTACTGCTGAATATCCTAAGGCTGCGTTTGCGAACTTTGATTTGGATTTGGGAAGTTGATTTAAAATCAAGGGATTTTAAATTTAGAATTTGAAATCCATGATTTAAGAAATCTTTTGTTTGGATATCTTTATTAAATGAAAGGATTTGAAATCTTTGATTTCAAAATCTAGTGTTTGGGTACTTTATTATACATGAATTTGAATTTAAAATTGATGAAAATTTATTCTCTTTACTTTATTATACATGAATTTGAATTTAAAATTGATGAAAATTTATTCTCTTAACCCATCTTGTTTACATTAAAATGCAATGGAGATGTGTAAAATAGTAACCAAAAAACATAAATTTAGGTAATTTTGACGATGGTAGCTACATTTGCTAAGTTTTCAAATTCATTGCCCACCATAACTTGCAAGAGTTTCAACAAAATGAAAATGAAGAAAACTCTACAACATATCAAGTATCTTACAAAAAAAATATCTAAATAATACATTATCATTGTATATTTCATAGATATCCAGGCTAGAAAACACTTGAGGCTTGTTTCATATTTCATACATATTTAAAGTGAGAATAAGTTGATATCAGAGCAAATAAGTAACAATTCTATTATCTTCTCAAATGCAGGTACAACTGACAATTACATAGTTAATTTGGTCTTTGATATACCAAGAGAAATGTTAATAAGAAAAAAATAATATTATCAACCTACAAAGAAATTACAACTGAGGATTCAGAAGTGCTTGTATGATAAACCCTATCCGCAGCAACAAAAGAGTAATTCATATGTCATCACGATATGAGCCCAAAACCTACAAAGAAAATGAGCAGATAAATAATTTGAAATAGGAACAAATGAAATTTTTAATCTCACAAGCAGCTATCAGCTAATCCCACAGCCTATTAACTACTCAATTGCAGTTCATTGTAGAAACAACAACCTAAACAACCCAAACATGATACTTTGCGAGGCCCCAGCAAACAGATAAAACACTTCATATATGACCGTATGTGTCTCGAACAAAAACAATCTCCAAAGGACATGACATTGAGGAGGAGCAAAAACTAGTTCAAGCTTTATTAAGGTGCCGTAAACCTCCCATTCAATCAAGATAACAGAAATGGAAGCAGCAAGTTACCCTCAACCATCGGCATGTAAGCTAAACGCTAGTAGTACTTGCTCTCAAAATCAACCATCCGCATTCCGCCATCGCAACATCCTACAGTCACTAATTTCTTATATTATCAACCTGAAACGAGGTGTGCGCTTCAATACTAGTAAACATAACATTACCTTTTTTTACACCTTAATAAATATGGGGGAAGAAAAAAGACAAGAACTACACTATCAAACCACATAAAAGTTTCTCAACTCAACAAAAGAACTTACTTCGATCAGCAGGACGAAGAACGCGATCATAGAGCATATATCCAGGCTGAATAAAAAACAACATTGATGAGACTCAATCACTGAAATATAAGGAAAGGTCTATTTAAGAAACAAGCTAGAATCCAATTAAAATGAATATACCTTGAGGACAGAGGCAACAGTGCTTGTGGGTTTTGAAGCGTTAGGTATATGGAAAAAGGCGTGATGCCTGTGAGGATCAAAGTTTTCGTCCGCCAGATCGAATTTCTCAACCCCAAATTAACTTAAAAACACGAAACACATGATCACAGATAACACATGATAATAGCTTAAAACACGAAACACATGATCGCAGAAAAATACATTAACTGCAGTAAGAACTGACCAATACAGTCATATGATGACTAAATAGAAGTCGAATCTTTGTAAGTTTTTAAGTCACCGGATCAGAAAAAGGCTAAACAAGAATAGTTAACAGTAAATTTGTAGCTTCATATATATTAACAGATGAGAATTTAGCAAATATACTCTGAGCAAAAGATGGATAAGTCACCTCTTTTAGTTGCTTATCAGTCACTTCAACACCTTCCAATAGTGTTTTTAGAAGAGGCCCTGCTCCAACAGAGTAATCAGGACATGGCTGATATATGACAGACAGTCATTACCTACGCACTCAACATCATATAAATTCAATGTAGTAATCAGGACATGGCTGATATATGACAGACAGTCATTACCTACGCACTCAACATCATATAAATTCAATGTAGTAATCAGGACATGGCTGATATAAGATCAATCTTACATCTGAATAAAGGTGGTTGAAGTCATGGAATTCAACCTTGTTCGCATCTTCTTAGTCATGTGGACCTTTAACATTGTCAATTCCTCCCACTCAACCAAGCTGGTCAATTACATAGAGTAAACTTAAATGAGGTTAAACAACTATTTCTCATTCATTGAAAGATAATTACAATTGCCCACCAGCATCCCTTGCACGCTTTAATTCTAATTAATCATGATATTGTATTGTATAACCAAATGAATCATTGCGCATTAGGTCACCCAACAGAAGTATAACAATTAGTTTCTGCTGCCAGTTGCTCATTCATTTGGACTTCATAATCATTCAAAGAATAAAACAAAGATTAGTTCAACAGCTTAGGAGCAAAGATATGACATACTAATGTTCTTGAAGGTCATCTTCATTCACTTCCAAGCATTTTCACGCACAAATAAAGCTTTTTTTTCTTTTTTTTTTTGAAATGGGTCAGCTTTGGAGTACAACTCATGGACATTTTCAACATTTGGTGACCCATTAATATGAAATAAACATTTTTAGACTGCTACTCATGCATTGAAAACTTCTGCTGCATTTTTATGATTAATTTCCAACCTGACATCAATAGACTAGAGCCCTTGCAAAGACTTCAAACCAAATAGTAGATTGATATAATAAAATTCATGGAACTTTCAATTGAAGAGTATCAAATAATAATGCAGAAATAAAACATTAAACTCAATACTAAGTCCAACTCGTGGTCAACCACACCAAAGACGAATCGATTATGTATACATACACTATTCCAAAAACTGATTATGGAATTTGAACTCTACGAAAGTATGCAAAATGAATCTTATGAGCATCCATAAATTCAAGATAAATCAGCAATGAGTCTTAACGAAACATATGTTGTAACTTCAAGTAACAAACAACAATGAGCAATGAGCCTTAACGAAATGAGCCTTAACGAAACAGCAATGAGCCTTAACGAAAATGAGCCTTAACGAAATGAGCCTTAACGAAACTGATTATGGAATCTGCGTACATATGTTATTTCATTTCCGTGTCCTCGAGTTATTTCATTCTTTTCTTGATTTTCAATCAGTATTAATTACAAGTCTCACTCTCATTGCTAGACTTCACTAGCATTGTCCACGACTAAGGTCAATCATATATGTCAGTATCATGGTACAAACATTCGATCTACATATATCATCGTGCAAATTAATGCATTCATGCGATGACTCATAAGTGGGAGAAAGGAACTGGACGTTCAAACATTGAGGTCTAAAAGGATAATAGTTAGTCTCACGTGGCAACTTTGAAGTTTGCTGATTTATGAAAGCAGATAAAGTACATACCAAAGAGTTACAGTTAGCTATTTGATTCTATAGTGTAATTTTACTTGCTTGCAGCCATCAAGCAAAAAAGAAAAAAAAGAAAAAGGGAAATATATGATGATGAAAATGCTGGTAACTTCAGAGGCAGGAGAATAATTTATGGTTGACTCTGAAATGTAACGTGATCAACACATGTCTTGGCACCGTACAACAAGAACCTATAGTATACTAATAATCAGATTGAAAGTAGCATACGGTTTAAAAATCTGAAGATTGGGTACTACAAAACACTGTGATGTAAAAACTCACACATTGAACCTTATCTAATGTCCCAGCGAGATCAAACTCACACATTGAAATAAATGAATGACTACGATCAGTTGTGAACCCTCGATTGTAACAAAAAACGCTACAGACTAGCAAACTCCAATCCAATCAGGACACAAAAGAATAAGTGATTTATCACTGTTAGAAGAGAATAATTTCACCTATAACCACGTTCACATAATCCATTAATTAATGAACATATAAGCAAATATCACCTACGGCATGTGAAGTAGAAAAACATCCCCACATTTAGATTGATGCTCACCTTTAAAAGCTAAAAGCAACCAAATATTACACCGATGTTGAAGAAGAAAAGGGTTTTGGGGCTAAATAGCTGCAACAATTCAATCAAACAAAGTTATTATTAACACTATATAAACCCTAGATCAGATCTAGGATTTCAACTGTAGGGGGAGAGGCAGGAGGAAGGGGAAGGGGGAGAGG